CAAATATAGAAACCATTTTGAAGTGCCCGCATATCAGAGTTACCAGGGGACAGCATCAAGTTGAATTTTAACAGCATGTCCATAGGAAGCCTAAGCCTATAAAGGGGTAATAGGGTCATATGACATAGTCCAGACCTCAACACGGTACAGTTGGTTTTGTTAGTTTCTATAGATGTGGATGCCCCTTCATCTTCTGTACCCCAACTAAAAATTTTGTTGTACATATTAATCATTAAAAATTCAAATTAAAAATAATACCATCAAGAAAAACTAATACATGATACATGCATTCTCATTTCCTTAGACAAAGATCACAAGCCCAAAAAGCTCAAAGAATTTCTTAAATATCTACATGTTGATGACATTTATTGAATATAAACATACTAAAAAAAGAGTAGAATAGTAACCAAGAAGTCTAGAATAGTAACCGAGAAGTCTATGGCCCTAATTCAGATGCCGATAGATCACAATTTTGAGCGGAATTGGACGACATTGCTACACTACCACACCCTTGCTAGTGCTTGGGGGGGGCGGGGGGGGGGGGGGGAGGGATTTTAACATCACAAGATGGTCACACGAAAGGAACACTGCCCAAAACCACTCTAGGCGTATGAATGCCTTCTCAGACTTCATATCCCGCAACGAGCTTATTGATATCCCCCTTCAGAGTAGTCGGTTCCATGGTCTAGCCACTCTCATCAACCCACTTGCTCCAAGCTCGACAGATTCTTGCTCTCTATAGAATGGGAGCAGATGTTCTTTGGTTCTAACGCCCTCTCTCTTCCCAAACTACCTCCGATCACTGCCCCATTCTCCTAAATACGGTTGATGTACACAGAGGCCCCAAGCAGTTCAGATTCGAATTGGCATGGCTTCAAGAGCAATCCCTCCTAACATTGATCCCACTCTAGTGGAAATCTATGTCCACACTAGTCACGGGAAAAGTACGGTACAGGCTACAAACTAAAATTCAACTCCTCAAAGTAGCCGTAAAAAACTGGAGCAAGTCCTTACCTAGGAACTATTCCCAGAAGAAAATATTTCTTCTCCAGACCATCCAATCTCTAGATTGTTTAGAGGAAACCATGCCTCTTTCTTACCAAGAAGCTACCCTTAGATCCACTGCACGATTGGAATACTTCGAGAACCTTAAGAAAGAATAACTCTTTTGGTACCAGAGATCTCGTGTGAAATGGTTGAAAGCAGGGGACCTGAACAGGGATACTTTCATCGGGTAGCAAACTGCCGTAGAAGGGATAACACTATCTCGATACTCAAAAAGGATGACATCTCTCTTACTCATCCTGGGCAAATAGAGGGAGCTATATTGGATTACTTCCAGACCCTCTACGCAGCCTCTTCGGCCCGTAAGCCCAAAATGACTTCTCTTGAATTCCTCACTACATCGGAACAGTAGAGAACATGGCTTGAGAGACCTTTCTCGAAAGACGAAATCGTTGGGACCATTAACAATCTTGCAAAAGACAAGGCCCCAAGCCCTGATGGGTTTGCTATTGCGTAGTTCAAGATCTTTTGGGACACCTTCCATCTTGACTTCATCTCTTTCTTTGATGAATTCCACATTAGGGGGCAACTTAAACAAAGCTATCAATGCAATTTTCATTGCCCTTGTACCCAAAGTGGAAGGCGCTGAGGAACTTAAAGACTTCCGACCCATTAGTCTCATCAACTGTTCTTATAAAATTCTATCCAAGGTGTTGGCAACTAGGCTTCAACAGGTCCTCTCGTTTATTATTTCGCCTTCTCAAACAGCCTTCATAAGAGATAAGCAAATTCTTGATGGTGCTCTCGTAGCACACGAGTGTATCCATTCTAGACATGTCATAAAAAAGCCTGATCTGATCTTCAAGATAGACTGGGAGAAAGCCTATGACCATGTTGATTGGTCCTTACTCGACCAAATTCTGGCTAAGATGGGTTTTGGTCACACTTGGAGAAAATGGATGAAGGGTTGCTACTCACATCCATACTTTTCTATCATCATAAATGGTTCCCCAATAGGCTACTTCCCTTCTTTCAGAGGACTATGCCAAGGGGACCCTCTCTCTCCCTTCCTCTTCACTATCGTGGCCGAAGTTTTCAGCAGGTCCCTTTCCCGACTCTATCAAGAAGGCCAGCTATCTGGTTTCAAGAGCTGCTCTCAAGGACCCGTCATGTCCCATCTGCGGTATGCAGACGACACACTTGTCTTTCTCGATGCTACCCCACAAGAAGTTGATAATTTGAGGATTTTCCTTAGATGTTTCCAGGAAGCCACAGGGTTCAAGATCAACAAGGACAAATCGAAAATGATGGGGGTGGCTATCACGACTAATGAAATTAGATCACTGATCCCAACTTGGGAATGCCAAGTCGAGGACCTGCCTTCCACCTACCTTGGCCTTCCCTTGGGTTTAGGGAAACCGAAAAAGTGCCAGTGGTCCAAGGTGATAGATAAGGTAGACAGACGCCTATAAGGTTGGCAAGGAAGATTCCTTTCTATGGCAGGCCGCAAAACACTGATCAATGCTACTTTAACAAACATTCTCGTCTACCTTGTCTTTATTTCACATGCCCTCCTCAATAGTCAAATGTTTGGAGCAACTTTCCAGGAATTTTTTATGGTCTGGCCAAGCTGAACAAGCAAGATTTCATCTCATCTCATGGGATAAAGTTTGCCTACCAAAATCACAAGGGGGACTTGGGATTAAAACTATGAGTAAACATAATCTGGCCCTCCTTGGAAAGTGGTCGTGGCACCTAGCCACACAACCAGATGCACTGTGGGCTTAAGTTATTCGTCACAAACACAAGATTCCAGCTACTACTTGGGTGCCACAGGTGAGGCATCGAAGCCGCACTTCAGGTGTGTGGGACTCGATTTCTCAATCCCTCCCTCTCTTCAATAATTATGTCAGCTTCCACGCCAAAGAAGGGTCAAGAGTAAAATTCCGGTCTGACCTGTGGTTGGGTCATACCCCCCTAAGAGAACTTTTTCCCTCACTCTACTCCATAGTTTCACACAAAAACTCCACAATGGTCGACGAAATCGTTACAGTAGGAGGGCGAAGAGTTTGGAATCCGTCTTTAAGGAGGAACCTCTCTGAAGCTGAATCCCTCTCTTTTACTCAACTTTTAGCAGCCTTGCACGCCTGCTACATTCCTATCAGTAGGAATGATATTTTGGTGTGGACTCTTTCCCCCTCCAGGTGCTTCACAGTCGCCTCATTCTATAGGAGACTCATCCAATCTCCCACTCTGCCCTTCAACCCCCGTTCAATCCTAGCTAAAGTGTGGTCCTCGATTGCACCCCCAAGGGTTCAGACTTTCAATAGGATAGCAGGATCACAGAGAGCACTAACCATGTATTAACTACAAAAGAGGGGAATCCATACTCCAAACACATGTATTATGTGCCAAAATGAGGAGGAATCCAACACCCATTTGTTCATTCACTGTGAACAAGCGAGATACCTTTGGAGTAGACTCTTAATACTCTTTGGCCTACAATGGGTTACTCCACCCACTGTACTATCCCTTTTATCCACAGATTTCGCCAAGCCTTGGCCCAAAGCTGGAAAAACCATTTGGAAGGCTGCCACTGCTGCGCTTATATGGGTTATTTGGATAGAGAGGAATAATAGGATATTCTAGGGACTCTATCGACAGTTGCCTGCACTTCTCCACAAGGTTAAGACTTTGGTAACTTTGTGGGCAACCAATCACAAAGTCTTCGCGGGCACACCCACAAACTTTTTTCTAAGCCATTGGGATAACATCCTTTTTCACCAACCAAAGAAAACTCAAAAAACCAACAACTGGCAACCACCCCCGAGAGGAACCATCAAACTTAATTTCGATGGTTGCTCAAGGGGCAACCCAGGGCCAGCCGGGGCCGGGGGAGTATTCCGAGATCATGAGAGGAATATTCTGCTCACGTACGCTGAACCCCTTGGCCATACAGACTCACAACATGTTGAAGCAATGGCACTATTGATAGGGCTCAAGCAATTTAACCCCTCTTGGGGATCCCACTTGATAGCTGAAGGGGACGCATACAACATTATATCTTGGGCATCTGGAAAGTCTAAACCACCCTGGTATATAGTTTCGATCTTTGATGAGATTGAATTCATTTGCAGGGACATCAATGTATCTTGGAGGCATACCTTCAGGACGTCCAACGTGTTCGCAGATCTCATGGCCAATGATGGAGCCGACCTTACAAACAGTCTTGGACCTCCTCAAAGCTAGCTGCAGGGTCTCTCTCTCTTTTCTAGCTCACCGTTTTTGCTGAGCCAACCCATTGTTGTCATAGTACTGGACTGCTTTTTTGCTTTCATGTAAAGGGATTACCTTGCCCGTCAAGGTTCTGGTAGCTCCCAATTTTTTGTAAGGGCCGCTCCCAAAACTTGTATTTACTTCTTTCATTCTTCAATGAAACATATAACTTCATCGAAAACAAAAGACAAAAAAACTAAAAACTAAAAACAGAGAAGTATAATGAAGATTATCACCAAAGAAGAGAGATTTTGAACATTAGTGTTCAGAAATCCCAAGATACAACAAGAAAGCTCAATAGACAATTTGCAATAACAAGTCATCACGGGAGCTCTAACTAGGAAGAAGAATGCCACCCAAATGGAAAACTAAAATTTTGAACTAGAGATTGTAGGGCTTATGCTTGAGTGGTAAGTGGTTAGTGATTGCAATACGACATCACAAGTTCAATTCTTATCAATGAACAACCCAAAAAAATGATTTTCCAAGTTTCCGTGTAGCCCAGCCCACCTAAAATATAATATTTGCATGGATCAAGTTAAAACATGTGTAGCAGTGATAAAGATAAACTGACACACCAAAGCACATCCTATGGAAAAACATTACAGAATACATGAGATTTAACTCGCATTATGCAATCTATCCAGAGGAAAGAATCACTAGAAGCTAAAAACATTTGTACATACAAAAAAATCTACAACATATGTTGTCTTTCTTACATTCTATGCCCCTCTGATGTCAACACCTCCTTGATATTTGCCACCCTCTGGTCAAATGCAACAGATTTCCCAGTTTCATAGTCTCTTACAAGCACTTGCCTCTCTGCACTTCCCTACAAGTAGAAAAAGGTACATAAGACTCATGGTAAAAGCTGGCCTAAATGCAATTCGAAAACAATAAAGAACAAAAGAAAGCCCAAGTCATAGGTACATTAGATGGCTAGCATCATGTAGCCAAGATAAAAAACATCCTTGCTCTTTGAGTGTTTTGAGAACAGTATTTTCATTCAACGGAAACAAAAGAATTGTTTTGTTAATGAGACAAAGCACTAATGGAAAAAGATTTGTCAAAACTTAGTTGATAATTACTAACACAAAGGAGAGAACTTTTGTCCACGTCAGACCTTTGCAAGACCATATACCATCAAATAATTCAATAAGTAAAAAGCACTCCACAAAAGGAATACAAGAGCCAATAAAATAGATGTTTTAGCACAGGCATTCAAGCACTTTCAAAGTTTAAGAGACTAGGCCTCCAAAAATTTTGTCCAAAACCTCGTCAACTTTGATCAGTCACGCCAGAAGTTGTTGGACTATTGAATAAAATCTGAATCAGATGAATACCATCCTAGTTATGTATTTCATTCCATAAAGAATGGGCAATTTAATAGATTAATAACACATTAAAAATGTAATTTTAAAGCATCTGTAGATTTGAGTCACACCATTTTTCTTTTTCTTTTATTTTTGAACCATTTTCCCTTTATTCTAGTCTTTCTTTGGTTCCCTAACCCCTTGGATGTCATTTCGTTTGGATTTATTTTTCATTTATTACTGAATATTTTTAATAAAGTTTATGATATAAATTATCATCATCATCATCAACAGAGCCTCATCCCAACTATTTGAGGTCGGCTGCATGAATCCTATTCCGCCATTTTGCTCTATCAAGGGCCATACTCTTATGCAGAACATAAGTCACCATATTTTTTCTCACTACTTTCATCTATGTTCTTTAGGGCCTTCCCCTTGCCTTTTCAGAGCCTTCTACAACCAAATCACTCCTCCTAAACGGTGTTATTCTAAGTCAACGTTGTACATTACTAAAACACCAAAATCTACTTTCCCTGATTCTATTGCCTATTGGAGCTACCCTAAGTTCCCTCAAATTTATTCTATCTGAATTCTATCAACCAGGTCAATCCACTGAGTCACTAAGTCAATGTGACCTAGAGAGAGGCCAAGTCCAAGTCTGAAATTTCAAACTATGCCAAATAAAATAAACTAAGCGACACATATCTCAACTATATCTCCTAAAAAATACATTCACTGTAATCACAGCAGTAAAATGCACTTATAATCATGATGTGAATGTCAATTCTGTCTGAAATGCTACCAAAATGGCTATGGATCAGCTGACATGGCCCATTTCGAAGGGACTGAAAACAGGACCCATTTGATATGGGTATACAAATTCTTGCAGTTAAAAATTACACATAATCATCTGATCAGGACATGTTTTGTCCAATGTTGGTTGTTTTAAATGGAAGTTACATAGTACCTCTATTGTAGGTGGAAACTTGTTTCCTAAAGGGAAAAGTTTCGGAAACTCAAACAATCACATCACTAAATTCACCGGAAACACAATGTTTTACATATCTCGTGGGCTTCCACCTTACCCACTTATTGATTGTTCACTGAAGTCACCCCATGACATTTCTTCCAAGCTAGCCATATGCTTCATGGGTGCTTCTATTGAAATCCACAGCAATTCATCAAAGACATTTGCCATGAGTTTCCCACTACTTTATTGTATTTTCCCCTTCTTTGAAGTCTTTTCCTCTATGCCCCTTCCAAAACTATTCAAGAACGTGTATATGTACTCTTTTGTATATTAGTATATATGTATTACATAAGAATTTGTGCAGGGGTACTTTAACCTTTATCCCAAAAGCATTGTATATAAGAGAGAACGTCAAACATTCTGTTACTATTTAGTCAATGATATGCTACTCCACTCGCACTAAAAGAAAAAAAAATGATATGCTATTCTCCTTTCCTCTTAAGCATTTCATGTACCCACATAGTAACAGAGGTGGGCACAAAATCCTTGGCATCCACAACTCTAATAAGCTTAGAATCAGTGAAGTTTTAGAAGAAATTAATGAAACCATATCCAGAATCAGTGCCCTGTGAAAATCAATCGGTATTGAATCAACCATCTATCCCAGTTCCCCATTGACAACTGTAGGTTCGGAATGCAAATTTGTTCAATCTTGAAAATTTGTGAAAAGCAATCCTCCATACTTGGCAGGGAAGTGCACACCCTAAACCAATATTTGTTTACCTAATTTCTACCAGTAAAAACATCATCTCAGCCAAGGTTATAAAATTCAGGATGCAGACTCGAGATGCTAGGGGGGTCCAATGTGCTATGCACCTCGATGCAGCCTTGATGCAGGTGCATGACTTCCAATGCAGACAATAAATACAAGTTTTAAAATAAATAAATTTAAAGAATACAAAAAATCAACATGAATATGTTATACGATAGTAAGCATTTTAATTTAGAATTTGTCCCTAATGTATATGTTGTCCAAGTCACTGACTTGGTTTCCATTCCTACCAACGCTAACCCCTTTCGAAAACTACTAACAGTTTCAAAAATTGCTAACCCACTACTAACAGTTAACATTAAAAACAAAAAAAGAGAGAAAGAGAGAGAGAGCGAGAGAGACATATGTTCTCTATTTTTCTATATGTAAAATAAAATGACTCAATTCATTAATTAAATACCATAGAACAAAAAAGAATGAGTATTATGTCAAACAAGCACTCAAAGAAAGTTCTGATTTAACAACTAAGTGCATTGTGGCAAGAAGCAAAATATTTAAGAGTTCGAGGTACTTTCCAAGTACATCCAACAACCAAAAGTTTACGACATAAAAATAGAGAGAAAATCTCCTTGCTCCCTTATACTCTCGATAACTCGATAAGACTTCACCTGGAATTCTTCAAAAGACAGCATGAATCAACTCAATGGTTTTGCCAAAAAAATCTAAAAATTTTGCCAGAAACTTCAAAAAACAGAGAATTTTGAAATCTTTATTTTATTCCTCTTCATTTCAAGAAATGTTAGTTCTTAGGGTTTTCGTAGGGTTATAGTTATACCGAACCCCCACACCCCCCACCCCACAAAAAAGAAAACATATCCTCCTTTGCGGAGGGAAAAATAAGCTCGTGGGTATTATTTCCAATCATGACCAGGCTCTGCATATGCAAGTGCATTACATGGTGTGATGCACCCACAAACATGGGCTATGGGCCACATAGGGTGGTGCATCTTGCAAGACTACCTAGGCTGCCATATGCAGTGCAATCAAGTGCAACACAACTTTGATGCAGCAGCATAATGCATTATGTGGCCGCATCTGATTACCTCTTTTCAGCCCTTTTGTTTAATTCCATGTGGACCTTACAGACGTACAAATTGAATTCGCAGACCTGATTTCTTTCCATTGGTGAATCCTCTCTATCTAAGTTTTCCAAAGGATATAGTTGTGGTCGTTTGGATATTCGCTAACGAGTACCTCTATTTTATACAAATCATATTTGTATAAAACTCCTAGCTTTGGGGTTTTTTCAATTCTATGAACTGAGACCCTTATTTGTAAAAATTTCTGGGGGTAGGTCTACTATATTGATCATTAAGAAAATATATGGGGAAGTTGCAACAGATACCAATCTTCACATGCACATGGCTTAAATTTGGTACAAGATATTCTTTTTCCATGATTCTTAACATTAAGAAAACACAAGTTTTCCAACAGAAGTCATATTGACAAGTTTAGTGGAAAAGTTCTTCTCTATGGGCATCGCATATGAGAAATTATGTTTATGGAAGAGATTTAGAGGATGCAATAGATAGTAACGTTGTGAACCAAGCAACCCAGAAAAGAAAACTGGGTAATATATTCAACAGAGGAATTTTGCGTTTATTAATAATGCCAAAACTACTTCTTCAATTGCATCTTTCAATTAAGAGATAATTGTCGGTAGTATGAGCAATTTTTAGTCTGCTAGTGCTATACCTCTCTTGTCTAGATCATTCTATTGCAACCAATCATATCACCATGAATGTGAAGTTGCTATCAACTTTTTAAATGAGAAAAATATAAAGAAAAAACTCAAATCAAATAAAACACAATGTGACGTTACTAATAAACAATTTCAACAGACAAAAAAGGACAAAGTCAATTGAGACATTTAAAATGCCCAAAGAACCAAAGAAGAATCAATCAACCAACCTGGTCAATCAAGACATTGAATATAGTAGCAATATCAGTATGAATCGCAGAAATGGTCGTCGGGTGTTTGGTATTGGGAAGCATGTGACTTGGAATATTCAACCTGCTCAAAATTATGAAACATGATATTACAGAACTAAAAAAAATAGAGAATTTAAGTAGTTAAGTCAAGAAAGAGAGCTGTATGAAGTCAAGTCTTCTTACAAAGGCCGGTCAAAGTCATAGATAAATATATGAAGATTTGGGTAATTCGCCTCTCTAGCGCATTCTCGAAGAAGAAGAGAATCCTTATGATCCGTTACAACGAACGAATTTAATAACTTTCCAATGGCATGTTCAATTGCCAGCGCCCAGCTGTCATCCTTTTTTAGTGACTGCAAAATTTTGGCATGAAATGGGTGTCATACACGATATTTTAAAAATCAATGACAACAAGGTCGATAATATTAACAAAAACTACTAGAGACATTCCAGTGGTTCAACACCTAATCTGTTAATAAGGAGATCAGAGATTCAACTTTTGTCCATTAGACAACATATGTTTACCTTCTTCTCCCAGTAAAGAAAGAAAAATGTCAAAATACAGGCACAGAACTCAATAAAATTATCCAAACCAAAACAAATAATATTAAAATCCCAAATAACAATAACATAAAAATACCATATGCTTGCAGTTCTTAATGTTACTAAGAAAAATGAAGCCAATCCTTAGGGATTTCAAATGAGTCAGGTTGACCTAGCCCACCTAGGTCCAAGGAGGAGCCAGACACGGTATGGTCCAGGTTGATTGGACCTAGACCCAACACACCAGAAAGGGACAAGTACAGATCAAAAATTGAAATGTATTTTTATATTACACAAATATATTAACAATGTTACATAGCATAAAAATATTATAAATGCATACACATCAGGTTCCGAAGTCGTTAGGTCCAGGCTAGACCCAAACCTGGACCCGACCCGTCAAGTCCACCTGGCAAGTCCAAACCTGGACCTGCAACATCCCTGCTAATCATTAGGGTAATTACTGAAAATAGCACGTGATCACACCATACACCAGCATTTGATAAAATAGTCAAGTAGCAAATTGAACTAAAAGAACAGGATGGCATATTAAATTGAAAAGCTATTAACTTTAATGATGAAGAAAAATAAAACTGCTACTATGTCCCAAGTTGGGGCAGATGAATTTTAATTGTGTCTCATACTCAATTATTGAAAATGCCAAAGACACATTTGATAAAGGGAGTAAGAAGAGGTGGGCACAACTTTTCCAATTAAAACTGCAAAAGGTGTCCACCCTTGTCCAGACCCCTTACAAGAACAATAAACCTACCTATTGCGAAACTCATGTCCTTATAAACCTACCACAATTTAATGCAACAAACCCATCTACATGGTGAATGAATAGAATAAGAAGCATTATGAAGAAGGTGACAACAAAAACTAACAATTGAGACAACCTCATATCCCCCAATTGATAAGCTCCTTGGCACAGGATCTACTTATTAAAAAATTTTAGAATGACTTGATCTCAATTATCAATAGGATATACACAGAGGAAATTAAGTTCCTTTGCTCAGAGGTGACATGTTTCACTTTTTCATATGAAGGACATCACATTGTTTCTTATTTTAATTGTAAACAACATTTAAGAAGCTTATGCCTCACATGGAAAAACAATGTCTTTACTATAAAATCCTAAATACTAAATGGTAACAAAGCAAAAGCCAAGGTAACATGAAAACCGTAAGTTATCACAACTGATATCTTATGTTTCTATAGATCAAAAGCTAGTCCACAGATGATCCCCTGATTTCTACTTTTCTGATTCTTGGAAAATGCAGTCCTGCCCATCTAAAAGAGGTTTCCTGGCTCAAATGGTGTGGTCTTTGTCAAAGCATGGTTCAAACCAGCACATAATTTAAAGCACGGTTCAAACCATGTGCAAGAAACAGAAATGTAATTCATTATCAAAGCATGGTTCAAAAATTGTTCATCCGAATCAGGAAACAGCAATCTGGATTGTAATTGGTGCGGGACCAACCCGGTTTAAGGAACTCGTCCAGTTCTGGTAGAGAATTGGGCAAAAGGAATTGCCAAATTGTCCAGTTCCTACCCAAATTACTTCTTGAATATTTTTCTTATTTTTAAATTATAAAAATGTTTTACTATTCTCCCAATCAGCTGGGAGGATCGCAGATCTGGATCGGCCTAGTAACTAGCCAGTTCACCGTGCCGATCAAGGTTTTTAAACTCTAGTAAGAACTATAGTTTCCTAAATAACACTTATGAGTTAAACTCATGGACATAAATGTAACCCATTATAAAAATGTCTCTGAAATGGATATGTGCATGACATGTATAGAATTTACATATAACTCAACAAGGCATATTCTTCTGAAATCTATTCTTATTATTTCTTATCTTTGCAAATGATTTTCCAAATATGGGCTCGATGAATGAAAAATAAGTCCATAGATTATGATATTTTTGCTGCTTCTCTTAACATGATTAAGACCCAGTTTGAAAAATCCATAAAAACTTTGTATATATGGTGCAATATACGCATCTAATCAATAATTGAAAAGTCCTAGGCATGGAACCAGGCACATCCCGAGCGTAAGACCGTTTGACTTAGCCAAGTCTTCAGCCTATAAAAAATTAATACATTAACCTAGAGAGCTGGTGAGACTTGGCCGGTTCCCAAGGTTTTTCAACAAGACAAAGCGCCGTGCTAGGACAAAGTAACTCGAACGAGTCTGAGTTCGACTCGCCGAGTTTTTAAAATATTAAGTCCAAGAATTTCAAGATTTTGCAAAATTACATGGTATGATCCACCAGAGAAAACCCCTCAACAAAATGGAAAAAAATAAGTTTATGCTAGAAAGAACATGCATTATTTTGGACGCCGGCACTCCATGACATTTGTGAAACAATACAGAGAAATTATGCATAGAAAGAAAAATTGGAACCAGCAAATACTGCCTCTTTTCTTCTTTCCTCTCTTTTGGCCTTTTTTGGTTTCCTTTCGAGGGCATGTGTCACCCTTTTTTTATTTTTTCCTTTCTTCGCTGGTTGCATCCAGCTGTCACCTTTCTCGGTGACTTTTGGCATTTTTTTGTATTCGAATGTCTTTGTAATCCCTTCCATCTATACAATGTTAACAGATTCAAAAAAAAAAGTACACCATTTATCCTGAAATCACAGAAACAGAGTGTATAAAATTAAAGTCAGATATAGGCATGTGGGATGAACATGCTCCTTGCTCCCAGAAAAAACCAACAAGAACAATACACAAAGATGAGAAGAAAATTCCTTAATAAGCATGTCCAAAAGAGCCTAAGGAACTTTCAAACAGTTCAAAGTACCATCAATTCTCTCAAAGCTTCAGCTTGATAGGATACTGAATCAAAAGGAAATGATAAATCAAAAAGACATTGAGGGAACCATCCTTGTGTACTAAAATAATTTCCTTAAATATAGTATCCATCGTAGGGTACCACAGATACAAGATAAATTTGCCAATCCAGCCAGCCCAACTCCTAAGCAAGATGGCGAGAAGCATATCTTAAACTCAGAAGAAATCTTGTTCATGAGTGTGAAAGAGAATGTTTTTGTTGTCCATACACTAAGTTTGGTCTCCAGGGCTCTTATGAGAGAATACCGTTCGAAACAATAAAAAACAAAAGCAATATTTCTCAAATAATAAGTAATAGAGACATGACAAAATAACACAACAAATTCAAGTGCTCATAATTCTTAGCTATCTACCTTGCCCTTTTTATGTATATATGACTGCAATATAAACTCAATTAAAAAGCTTATTCTCATTCAAGTGGCCCACAATCACTCACATGGCTTTAAATGGTAGCAAAGGTCAGCAAAAAAGTCTTCAAAGAATAGTGTCACCAAAAAATCCCCATCATTTCTAGAGTCAATTCCCATCATTTCTAGAGTCAAAGAATCACTCAGCTAACTAAAATTATTGAAAGAAACTTCTATAGTGAAACACAGCAGATCCAAGGAGACCAAGCAATAGTGCAAACAACAAACACATAAACCGAGATTTCAGGGAGCAGAGTTCCTGAAGTAATTTACAACATTTTTTACGGAAAAAAGTTGTTTAAAACCAGTCACAATTCGACCAAGTTCATCTTATAGTATCTCCTCCATGTGATCATGAAAATTGAGCTGCAGTTGTAGATGAAAGTCACTAATCATGTAAAACAAGAGAAATGGCAGAGCAATACTGGAGAAAGGGCCCCTATGAAGCCATCATTCAAATATGAAAGTCTATACTACAACAGCAAATGAGTAATCGAGAAATGGAACCATAGATGGGATTATGTCACATCATATACAGAGAACAGTGACAACAGAAGTGGAATTCCCATTCAACCCTCATAGGCACACATGCACGCGCATGCGTGCACGCATCGTATAGCCATATCTTATCCTAGATGAACAATGAGTGAAAGTGGGTAATCTTGACATTACTTCATCTCCTCAAGTGACAAGAAAACCACTCATGTATCCTTGTTACATGCATTTAAACTTCTTTTGATAGCTTTTAATGCTCTAAATCAACTTCCAAAGTTGAAATAGCATGAATTTAGATGGTTTACCCGAATTGCATGCCAAGAACCAAATGGTAATATACATTACTGCATCTAGGTCATCAAACACAAGTTGCATACATTATTAACAAATTTGTAGTATGCAAATATTTATATATATGGCTCTCACCACATGAGCACCAATCGGACCAATAGGAGGCTTTTTGAATTTTCTATAGTGCATCTCAATAACTCGCAAAAGATGAAGCACTCTCTCACCTCCAAAAGCAGTCACCTGACCAAAAAAGGAAAGTATGAGAGAGGCAAAAATGCAGAGACATCTATTAAATATTAAATACCATTTATAAATATGGGATGCATGTGTGCAACTATATCTCTCTAAACAAGCATGAAGAAGTGTAAACCAACACACATTTAAAGGTCTTACAAATCATGTGTGCATGGGCGCATGTAAATGAGGCACTCCATTTTCTTTGGTAATATTCAAATGCATGATAATAGCGGCACAACAAAATGAAACAATTATTAGCCAAGACCTTGTTGGTTTTTTGTCGTTGAAGATCACGGATGTGAGCATTGATTTCCCTGTACTTGGTCTGATATTCTTGAATCTGTATATAAAGTAGTATTAAACAAAAAATCCCATTGTGCAATACTGGAACAGAATACAAGCAAAAGACATGAAACTCCCCATAATCAATACAGAAAATATTCCCACCAACCAATCCTCACTAATTAAGCCTTATTAGCACTAGGAAACAAGTCATAAAATGACTGTCCAGTAATCCAGTTTACCAATTTCGACGGTAAAACACACCTCTGCACTAATTTCCTCGACAGCACTAGTTGCATCTCTTAGTTTTTCATCTAGCATGTCCTCTTCCTCCTTAAACCTGAGTAACCATAAATAATTAGAATGTGAAACACCATATATAGTGCAACACCCCATTTTTCATAGCAAAAATAACCAGTACTAAAAAATGATATGAAAATATAAGCAAACCCTTGAAGTCTGGAAGTAGCGATATCAAACTCTTCATGAAGTTTGGCTAATTGTTCCTGCATCTCGCTTTTTTCAGCCTACAACATAGACAGATGATAGAGCAATAAATCACAAGATACATTTTCCACTACTCCTCTATTGAGGAATATTAAATAACTAGGAATGGGGCTTGGGCTTGAGTGGTTAGCAGCACTAAATCTCAAGTTTGATTTCTAAGCTGACCTAACAAAATAATAATAATAAACAACTGCAATCCCAGCATTTCTTCAACAGGCTTCCCATTCATAGACACAAAACAACTGAATCAAACAGTGAATGGATATGTAAGCCAACATTCTCAATATGTGCGTCTGACTGCATATATATGTATGCATGTCTATATGTATGTATGTATGTAGAAAGAAAGAGAGAGAGAGAGAGAGAGAGATGGAGTATGGTTGCATGCTCCTATGAGATAATTGCTCAAGCATTAGGTCACATCTCATAACTTCTTCAGAGACCTAGGCGGATCTGTTAGATCCCAAATTTGTAGAGGACCCATATTCATCCCATCAAACAAGCTCACAAAAATATATGACAAAAAACCATGAAATGGTTTTTTTAGGAGAGAAAGAATTAATTGAGTACAGGCGGTACATTTCAAGAAAGAAAAAAATGGTGTTCGATGGAGGCCTTAGGGAGAACTGTTCGAACAAAAATTCCATATATGCCCTCATTATCACCGAATGAACAATGTTAGAAAACAAATCTATTGATTTTGAATTCTTAAAGGCCTGGACCTAAAATGGACAGCCCACTCTCACCGAATTTTCTCTCCTAAAGAAATCAATTTTCTAGTTTTTCTTTTATTTTTTTAAGAAAATTTGTTTGCCACGTTCAAGAGAGTGTACGTGCAAACAAATCTCTCTAGATAGTTTTGTCTAGGAGCATTCAGGCCATGAGCTAATAATGTAGAAATAAAGCAATTCCAAACAAAGAAAAAACAAAATAAGTCTCTAACGCAAGTGATAACTCCTAGCTCTTTTGCATTAAATGTTAGATATTAATAAAAATCAGCAAACTGATCAGGAACTGATATGGTAAAATGAATCAGAGGCATTTAACAACAATTTTTTTACGCTACAAATCATCATCATCACTACCATCCAAGCCTGATCCCCAACTACAAATGATATCAATAAATAATGAAGAGAAAACCAAAGCAAAACGGTATTCTAATATTAAAATCTCAAAGAACTAAAAAGCGTGAGGAATGAAGAATCCAGCTGCCTTTAACAACCTGAGTATCCCTAACATGTTTGTCTCGAACATCAAGAATCTGTTGTTCTATCCGTTTAACACTATCTAACAACTTCCGAATCATATTTGTTCTCCGTGCCATCTCCTCCTCTAGCTCAAATTTCTCTTTTGTAGCCTGATAGTATGAAAAAAGATGTTTTTCATAAGAGGCAAATAACACAGAGAGCTAAGAATGAACCCATGTAAATGAATCATATTCATAGAAGATGAGGTTATCTCAAGTCCACACCAATAAAAATACAAGAGAAAGTGCGGAAAAGAAGCAAAAGGCAATAAATCTCCGAACTAACACGAACAAAGTGAGAAGTAAAATAGAAGAGCACACTTTCCAAAGTCAATTTTTGTGTAGCAAACACTAAACAAATTCCCAGATATGCATGAAAAAAAGATGCAAATAGGCTTAAAAAATACCCTTTTAATTATGAACTTAAATATGCGTTCCTAGTGTGCTAGTTACAATCGGCTCGCATGAGATTGTGGATCTCTAAAATATTATTGAAAATTGCACTTTCATGGCAATGTCTCAAAACCGTGTTCAACAAGTCTGCAAGCCAAGCCTACTTGACTTGACAGAGTCAAGTCACCTCATCCTGATACTGATTAAAGCGTGTAAATTTGGATATGGGTGATTGCTTGATAAAGGTGCATGAATCTACGGATGGTCGGATGCATAGAACAGTGGGAACAGGAGCAGGAATAGATAAAGAAGTAAGGAAATATTAGTATTAGGAAGGTTTAAAAGGAATCATGGGAATGACTCTAAATCAGGAGCCCCATTCAGGGTACAAGTTGCCTGCAACTGAAGGCCAGTCATAGTTTGACCAGCCTTACTTGTGGACCTGTGGACTGGAGTTATCAATAAGTCGACATACATGTGGAGTAATGCACTCCAGTATCGCCTAAGGTCCTATAGTCGATAGAAGTTGTATGTAATTTGCACGTTTGAATTTAATTCAGGAATAAGATACATAGCTCAGTGAAATAAAACTGAAAACTTCTGAAGCCTTTGACAAAAGAGCTTCTCAAGTTGGACAAAGATTAAGTCTGAGAACTACAACAATGATCTCAGTGAAGTGCTTTTTATGCCTCTGTCCAACCAAAACAAAACTTTTTATTGATGCTTAAAAATACGAGTAGAAGGCATTCAGGATGAAAGACCACTACACAAAACAAAACAATGATACTAATCTACCATTGGGACTAACTCAAGCAGTTCTACTTTTCCCATGGACATCAGTATACATTGCTTCTATGATTTAACTTCTTTTTTAACAACAGTGTCACAGTCTGGGGAACAAGAAGGAAAGGAAGAAAATTAGGAGGGGCAAGTAACCTATCCAATTGAGATAGAACAATAACCCAAAATGGCTTTCCAAGGTATTTCATTTAAAGCTGAGATAAATACTCAATCACAGATTTGCATGCTCTGAGCATGACAAAATCATATAACTGTATATATGTTCTTGGACTCCATTTGTGTCAAATAATCAGTAAGGAAACATTATTATATACTTCTCTACATCGGCTGACCACTTATCTCAAACAGGATATATAATAAATACATATAATTTGCTTTCTTAGCAGCATACCTTTATTTCTCACAGTGATCTAAAAAGTAGACCGCCCAGCTCCTGGGCAGCCGCCGAGGTGGTCCAGAAGTCCTGGACGCAACACCCAAGCCTAGACAGCCAAATTAGACAAGATATGCTTGGGTGCCCAGCCCTGGGCGGCTGTTCAAGGGCAGAAATGCTCCTCTTTGAAGGCATTTTTTGGTTATTTTTTTAATACTAAAGGGTAAAATTGTAGGTTTTAGATTCATTTAAAACCTAAAACCTATTAGAGCCTCTTTTAGAGAGAGAAAAACCTCAAAAAACTAGTTTTTGGTGATTTCATAGGATTACGAAAAATTGATCTGAGCATCACCTATTGATATGAGATTTAGTTTTGGATGTTTTATAAATCTATTAGAGAGGGTAGCAGATTTTGAGTCCTTAGAAACATCTTAGAGGTGGAAGTTCGGAGATTGAGTAATCAAAGTTTTAACTATGTGTGGACAGTGGAGTGTAGACTATCAGACTATGGATAATTGCATATGGACTTATGGTTGTAGAGTATGGAGGAGTGTGTGCTATGTGGACTTGTATACTATACATTTGATGTGCCCTAAATCCCTAATTCTTATGTGTTATACAATTATACTTATACTGTTAGACTGTAGAGATATTTTTCTTTCTACTGGGCCGCCCAGGCTCTGAGCGCCGGCCTAGGCGCTGGGCAACCTGAACCCCCCCCCCCCCCTCCCTCGGCCGCCTAGCACTTTTTGAAACACTAATTTCTCAAGAATGTTCAACTTGGTGAGCAAATCCTCATGAATTGTAACATTCAATAATCTAAATTGGCCAACTAATGTACCACCATGAGTAAAAAGAGCAAGAAAGCATCCATACAGAATCAAAGACCGCAGGTTTAATGGTAGTTTAACGTCAACCTTCCTATTGAAAAAACAATAAGAACAGAAAAAGGTATATAAAAAACTATATTATTAAACATGATTGGCTTTGAGGATCACATAGCACCTTTAATTGCATGCTCCACGGTGAACAAATCAGCTCTATCTATTTAGATTGATTGTGTGAAAAATATATATTCATAAAAGGAAAACTTATTCTTCAGCTTAGAGGAAGGCAAAGAAAACCAACATTCAAGTTATTGATAATAACGAATTAATCAAGGATTGAAATAAATAGAATAAAAAAACCAGTTGCAACCCAACTAAAAGACATTAACGAATAAAATTACAGTTTTCAAGTTTCTTTATATGGAGAAGATGCATGACCCCTAAAAATGTGAATGAGTAGGTATCCAATATTGACCTTTCAAGTTCAATAGCATATTTGTAAATGAACAGATAAATAATAATAATTAAAACTCAGTGTCACTTCAAATATAGCAGTCACTAGCAAAGACCCCTATTTTAATTAACCGAATCTGAATGCACCTTAGAAAGATTCTGCTGCCGTTCCCCCTGTAACCTTCTCACTTCTGATGTCTTCTCCATCATATTGGAAATATCACCTTTTCTTTCAAGAAAAAGACCCTTAAGTTCATCAATTTTTTCCTGAGAAGTAAATCCACGGGGAAAATGTCATAGGTTTATTACAATTTCTAGCTTTAGCTTTACAAATAAAACAAGCATAAGACAGATAATCATACAAAACAATTCACAAACTCTGACACCACAACATGGAAACCTGAACAATATTACACAAAATGATTTTGTATTTCAAATCACAAAAGACAACACCAACAAGAAAAAATTCAAAAGGAGGTGACTCCTGTACTTCCAATGTTCAAGTGAACATTCAACTATCTCAATTAGATCGTGCTTCAGGTTCCAAAAACCAACCTACAGATGTTTGTGAATTTTATCAAATAGCACATGACTCTGGATAAAAAAAATAAAAATTCATTCATTACAAAGGGCATCATAATAAGTAGAAGAAAGAGATCGATTTAGGCAGCAGTTAGAAAAGCAATTAAAAATCAAAAAATAAAAGCTCAAAAATTTGACCAACCAACAAATAAACAACTGATCTTGTTTGATAACCTTCAAAAAAGAAATTTCTTACCAAAAGAACAACTCTGTACTTCAACATAACTAGAAAAGACGTGAGTAGGAATCAATAGATCCTGAGTTTTTTCCCCTTGCTCAAAATCCTAAAACATGGAATCTCTTCAACAAATTATAGTACTTCAACCCCATAACAATCAGAACTCTCTCTCAAGGATCTCCCTCCCTCGATGCCTCTATTTTATGCCCTCTAAACGGTTAGGTAATTCTCATTGCTGTTGCTTCAAACCCCAAAATATTGGGGCAAAAGAGGTTTCCACTCCCTATGGTTCAAAACCCTAAGAATGCTCAATTCCCTAAACTAAAATTGATGAGGCAATTTTTCAGGCAAAACAACCTTGAATCTTCACTTGATAAAAACACTAACAATAATCACCAGGAGCTGTGACTCTCAGGTTCATGCTACTATTGTCTAAAAAGATAAATGCTTTCATCAACACATGCCAGTTACCCTAACAAACATCAAGATACATCCCCATGAGCGTCAGACATACGTTGCATCAAATCTCAAAACAATGTCAAGAACTTTCATTAAAAACTATCCAATTCTCTAAAGATGGACCTTCCTTCTTGATCCATCGACCCGCAATCAGTCCAAAGTTCAAAGTGAAGACTATATGCACAAAACTATTTCAAACAAAAAATCAACAGAGAGATCAGTGTTCCAATATCGGAAAATTCAAGTTTGGCCCCCTAGGCAGCCAAACGCGGTCCTAGGCAGCCTAAAAAAAGAGTGGGCTTTGGGGCCTCAAGGATGTTTGGATCTGGATTGTATACCAAATCCTCCAAATTGAACTTAACGAAGTATAATCATGTTATTTTGTAGTATAATTCTAAACTCATGTATGTATGAGTTTGAAACTTAAATTGAATTACAAAAAATTTAGAAGATTGAAACTTAACCAAAATTCATACAAAATTGCATGATTCACTAAATAGTTACATAACAATCTGTCAATATGTGCAAAAATTATCAGTAATTGAAGGAAAACACAAACAAAAGCCATTGTTGAGAAAAGTCAAATCAACATCCAATATGAAAATATCACCAAACCCTTAACCAAAAATTGAAATATGTTTATCTTTGGAAACCAATCAATGCAGTGGCTCGAAGTCTGAGCCTTGGTTGTTGAAACACCTCTTTTGTGACCCCTCCAAGTCTTGCACAATTGGATTGTGTTTTTCAGTTTCACAAGAAAATGAAAGGTCCAAAAAAACTTTCAATCTTCAATAAATGTCAAAATAAAAATTTAAAAAAAAAAAAAGATCTTGATTCAGTTTCTCTTTCTGACAAACAAGTAAAGAGGGTTTAGGGGAGATAGAGTACCCCCAAAACCCTCCCCCTTATAGGGATGAAAAAGACCAAAATGCCCCTAATGAGGGCCATTTTGCACCCTTGGCCAGGGAGCATCTCGGCAACCATCTACACCAAAAGGCAGGACAAGTTTCCCTTCTAGTGCCTAGTCGCCCACCTTGGCCCAAAGGGATGTGCTTTTTGCCTGGCCGCCCTAGGCGCCTGCCTACCCCAAGGCGGTGCACCACGGGTTAGGCAGCGAAGCAGCCGGATTTTGTAAAATAGATCTATCTCATGTTTCCTACAGAAAAAATAAACAATTCAACCTTCAAAAATCCATAAGTTTGTCAATAGATTATGTAGGGAGTCAGTGTAAAACTTCGCCACATCTTGTCATGAGTCATGTACCTATGTTATACCGAATGGGCAAAACGGAGATGTGCATCCGGAGTTTTTATGTGATCACCAATACCATTGAGACTGAAGGAGAAGTTTTAAGGATAGTTGTAAGACCAGCAATGATTTATGGGATGGAATGTTGGGCAGTCAAGAAACAACATATCCATAGGATGAGCGTAAATGAGATGAGTAGAAAGACAAGAATGGATAAAATTCTGAATGAATACATTCAAGCGAACTTGGGTGTGGCTTCAATAGGTGATAAGATGAGGGAAAGTAGACTTAGGTGGGATGGCCATGTGCAACATAGACCCAATAGAGCATCAATTAAGAGGTGTGACGGTTCAAGTGGAAGGCTCTAAAAAGACATAGGAAAGGTCCAAAAAAACATGATAGAAATAGTGATAAAAGACATAGTGACTTTTGTCTTACTGAAGGCATGGCCTTTGATAGAGAAGAATGGAAGAACCTGATTCATGTAGCCAACCCCAAATAATTTGGATAAGGCTTGGATGATAATGATACATATGTCAATATGCAGTTTGAAGACTGGAGATGCAACCAAGTCAACTTGCCTCAGATCCCATGAATACCATGGTAGGCCACAAACAGGAAGCTTAAAAACTAGGACAAGTCATTAAGGACTTGGCAAGTCCATACAATTATCTGGATTCATGTCAGTCAAAAACCAAAACTCAGTTGTCTGTATGCAACAATCTCTAACCTTATTTTAAGGTTAGGGGGTGCCACGAACAATTCCTCACCTCCTTCCTACTTGTAGAAGTAAAACATTATATTACGATATTGTATTTTTCTGTAGTAATTTCTATTTTTTCTTTAACAAAAACTAAGAAAATGTTGAAGAAGATCTGCCAAGCCCAATTCCAAGTCCCCAAGTGACCCAGCCAAGGATTCGAGAAAGCCCCAAGCCAATTAACCCTTGCAGAAATTTCCATGCATGCATGAATACATGCGGCAAATGCAGATTGCATATAGATGACAAGATAGAGGAAAACATGTTGTCACTGAGCACAAAGTCATGTATTGTATACCTTTTGTCGATCAATTCTTGCTTGGCAAGTAGGAATACGATCTTTGAGCTTTTCAAGCCTCACACCCTCCTCCTGAATCTGGTGATCCACATCATATACCCAACACCAGGCTAATTGTTTCTTCAAAATATTTACTTGCTGGGATATTTCCTCAACATGCTCCATACTCTTTATCTTCTCTTTCAACTCATCAATTTCTTTCAATATGGGTCTAATAGAAGACTCCAACTCATCTATCATTGCATTTGCAGCGTCCAGCTGACCTTTGATGTTTTGTAGTAACTCATTTACTTGTTGAAGTAGAGTAGCCCTGAAAAAGAACTGAAATCATCACATATCAGGACCACTTTCTTTAAAATAACTGCAACATATTGAACAAACTTATGAAACAATGTTATGAGGATTTATGAGAGAGCGAGAAGGGAGGCAATTCTTGTTTCAGTTGCGCTTAAAATTTTGTACGTCATAAAGTTCACAGGTGAAATTTCTTGCTACTACAGTATGAAAAATACTGCACAAAGAATCAAATCTGAAAAAGGAATTCTGCTATAACAAGAACCATGGTCACCACCTTAAATTTGTCCTTATCATTCCCAGAATGCAAAAACTCTCTGCTTTTATCCTGGCTCATAATAACACAAGGATTCTCCACATCAATCTGAAATTGCAGCAGCTGTCAGGCATAAGCAAAAAAAAATTGTACAAACAAACATGCAACATATGTTATAAAAACAAATCAAATGATGAAACATGGGTGTAGAGAGCAACCAACAATATTGTTCACAGAAAAGGTAGATTGTGCAAAACAACTACTGAAAATCATTAATTAGGTTCCATTGGAAACTAAAGAAAGGGCAAATCAAAGAAGCAAATTTGTAGTGTTGACAGCAAAAGCCACATTTGGCGAATGATTATTCAAATTCCTAGGCATCTTAAATATTAGCCATGCTAAGAGATGTTTGACTCCATAATATTACCATATGCTACAGGGTATTGCTATTCTTGTAATTTTTTAATAATAAGCGAATTTCAGTATTTAGATTTCAGGATATATTTTATCATTCCATCATCATAACTTACACGCAATGATCTGATATTGGATTGATAACAATCATTACTTCTCAAAGGATCCAGTTTCACATTGCAACCCCAAATTTCCATGTTTCTAACGATTGATTACCTACCTTGACAAGTGACAATGTGATCATACAGATGCCCTGAATATCTCAGGGATCTAGATCTAAGGTTTCAGAAAAACAATTTGGTAGCTGCTCTAAGTAAATAAATAACTACCAAAATACCCAAGTAGGGTGTCACTTATGTTTCAAGTTTAGGGCCAAATGCAATGACTTGTACCCAAACCGCAGGAAGATAATACAAAGTTCATTTTTCATGGAGCTTCCAAGAGAGCATGAGGTCCAACCAGGTATTCCAAAGAAAGTTAAAGTTTGCAACTGTTATTCTGCATCTTGAATTAGAATTTTTAAGGACTTTAAAAATTAGATAATGTAATTCTAAAGGGCAAAGGCCATCCAAGATAGCATGCAAACTTTCATATTTGGGGACTTTGAGTGTCACTGTCAGAAATACCCCGCAAAGATAACAAGAATATAGGGGCAAAAACTGGGTAAAAAATAAAATTCTGGATTTTTCCAATTAGAACTTGTGAATTTGAGTAATCCTGGGATTTTGTAATCCATGATCAATTTGGTAGATTTTTATTCTCACCATATGAGAATGTGGCAAAACTTATGTACTGACACAATAGAAATAAGTACCAAAATAGCCCCATATGATGAGCTCCAAAATGATAGAGAAAATCCTCTTGACTACACAATACATACAAATGTAAAACACTCTCAAACACCATAAACACTCAAACTAGGGACATAAGAAATATAAGCAACTTAGTCAACAAATCAACTACTGACATAGTTTTGATCGATGAGACCCGAAACGGCATCATCAAAGAGTAAGAACTTTAGAGGGATGCTCTAAAATCCAAAGGTTTTAAAATTAACCGGACTAAGACATAGCATATGGAATGCAAGTTTAGTAATAATAGGAGTAAACAAGGAAGTAGTTAAAATTGACGGCCAGGAAGTACCAAAAAGACCACACTTTCGATATCTTGGGTCGATGTCCATAAAAATAGAGAGATTGCGGAAGACATCGCACAGAGAATTAGAGTTGGGTGGGCAAATTGGAGATGTGCAATTGGAATTTTATGTGCTCACCGTGTACCAATGAAATTGAAGGGCAAGTTCTATAGGAAAGTCTGAAACCAACTTTGCTCTGTGGGGAGGAATGTTGGGCAGACAAAAAACAATATATCCATAAAATGAGTATAGCAGAGATGAGGATGTTGAGTTGGATGAATGGCAAGACAAGAACGGATAGAATTCGAAATGAATCCATTCGGAAAAAATTAGGTTTGGTACCAATACGCGATAAAATCAGAGAGAGTAGACTTAGGTAGGTTGGCCATGTGTGGCGCAGACCCAATACAGCACTTATTAGGAGGTGCAAGTTAGTTTAAGTGGAAAGATTGAAAAGGACAAGGGGTAGACCCAAAAGGATGTGGTTGGAAGTAATCCGAAAAGATATGAGGACTTATGACCTCATTGAGGATATAGCCTTTAATAGAGCAGAATGTCAAACTAGGATTTGTGTAGCCAACCCCAATTAATTGGGAAAAGGCTATGATAATGATGAGTAAACAAATCCACTACCATTCATAAAGAAATGAAACAAGGAAGAGTGATAAGAACCTCAATCTATATATATATAGTGAAATGGAAGTCAAATTCTATGTGCTTTGTCATCAAAAGTATGGGGGAAGAGTCACTCACTATGTCTCCATGGAGATGGATAGGAGAAGAACTGCAAATCCTAATATCTTGCAGAAGATACAAGCACACAATATCTCATTGGCAAAAGTAAACAATTATATTGCACACAGCACCAAGCTCTCCATGGAGTTGAATAGGAGAAGTACTGCAAATCCTAATATCTTGCAGAAGATACAAGCACACAATATCTCATTGGCAAAAGTAAACAATCATATTGTACTCAGCACCAAGCTTACATGCTGATAAAAATAAATAAAAACTAAAAAAATACAGAATCCTATTCTAAACCACTATGACCCATATGAGGAGTTTAAAAATGGAAGAACAAAAATGTTAGGAAAAAATCCCCTTGATTACACAATATATACAAAATGTAAAACACTCTCAAACAACATCCACACTCAAACTAGGGGCATAAGAAATATAAACAACTTAGTAAACAAATCGGCTACCATTCTTAAAGAAATGAAACAAGGAAGGGAGATAATAACCTTAACCTATATCTAGTTAAATGGAAGTCAAATTCTGTGTGCTGTCATCGAAAGCACAGGGAAAAAGTCACTCATTTTGTCTCCATGGAGATGGATAGTAGAAGAACTGCAAATCTAATATCTTGTAGAAGATACAAGCACACAATATCTCATTGGCAAAAGTAAACAATCATAATGTACTCAGCACCAAACTCCCAAACTGAACTAATATCAGCCCAAAAGAAATACAGAATCTTGTTCTAAACCACCTTGGATTACGACCATCCACCAGTTTGAATTTCCATACTCTGACCATTGAAGGCCTAAATAATGAGGGGAAACCCAGCCCAATATAGATCAAATGTGGTGAATCATGTATTTACCACAATCATATAAAACCTAGGAATATAAGGGAACTGGCCGACCACTAAGGTTATGACATATGTCCAGTTTAGCGATAGTTACATACTAAAAGTCCACAAACGGCAAAATAAACATATGTAAATACAAAGCTCTAAAGGAGTATGAACAGTTGTACTGTCCATAAGAGATTCCCGTGAGATCAAGTGCATTGTGTCAAAAAGTGCTAGGTGGAACCTAGATGGTCAAGGGGGTCCAGGCTGCCCAGCGCCTAGGCGCGTGCCCAAAACCTAGGTGGCCCAGTAGAAAAATATTTTTTTTGAGTTTTCTCTCTCTAAAATAGCCTCTAATGGGTTTTAGGTTTCAAATGAACCTAAAACCCATAATTTTGCCCATTTGGTATTAAAAAAAAACCCAAAAATACCCTCAAGGAACCGCATTTCTGCCCTGGGTGGGGTACAAGCCCTGAGCGGCCGCCTAGGCGAGTTCAGGCGGGCGCCCAAGGATATCAGCCAAGGTGGCCGCCCAGGCCCTAGGCGATCCGCTTAACAGTGTTCAAGTCCACATATGCTCATATCTAACCTAAAGTGGAGGGGGTTTGACAGTTCCTACCCTTCATCAGAAAACTATCGAAATAAAGTTGACTAAGGAGGACAAATGGTAAAAACACCATTCACAATCATTACCAGTGTTTCAAAAAGCAGACTGCCCAGCGCCTAGGCGGTTCTAAGGGCCTGGGCACATCGCCCAGGCCTAAGAGCCCAAAAAAAGCAGCATACCCTAGGCGCCCAGAACTTGCCTAAGCGACTGCCCAGGGACTGCGCCCTGCCCAGAGGCGAAAAATGCACTCGGTAGGGGCATTTTTTGTCATTTTTTATGATACCAAGAGGCCAAAAATGTGGGTTTTAGGCTCATTTGAAATCTAAAACTCATTAGAACCCATTTTAGAGAGTGAACCCAAAAAACTAGTTTTTTATGATTTCTTTAGGATCAAAATTGATCAAAACCTCACCCATTGATATTAGATTTAATTTTTGATGTTTTATAAGTCGATTGAGGGTTTCTTAAAAGATTTTGAGTCCTTAGAGGCATCTTTAAGGTGCAAATTTGGAGATTGAACTATCAAAGTAAGTAGCCTAGGGTTAGAGGCCCTATGGATAGTTTTTTGCCTCGGCCTGACCCTAAGGTTAAGCAAACCACCAATTAAAATAGACTGAAGAAGGAAGAGAGAGAGAAAGCCACTTTTTATATTGCTACATGGTTTTATGAGGCGAGCATTCCTTTCAATACCGCTCGCCTAAGCAGCTTCTATGCTTTGGTAGAGGTAATTGCCCAATGTGGGCTTGGGATGATACCCATGAGCTTTCAAAGCCTCTTTTGAAACAAGCAGTGAGTGTCACAAAGGATGTTGTCATAGTTTCAAAAAGCGCTAGGCAAGCGCCCAGAACCTGAGCGGCCCATTTGAAAAAATAAATAAAAACTAAGACCATAATCCCAGTTAAAAAAAAAAAAAAAAAGAATCAAAATTGAGAAGAGAATTTTGATAATCCATAAGACCATAATCCATATTTTTTATACAATGCTAAAACAGTAAAACCATACAAGCATACATTGATATTCTGATACATTGTAGATTGTACACACAAAAGTTAGATAGTACAACTAGAAAGTAGAAAGTAGAAACTAAAAAAAAGAAAAATAAAATATATAAAAATTCAGAAAATATACAGTCTAGGACACAATAGTCAACAATCAACACTCAACACCAAGTGTCTTTCAGTCATTATCATCATCATCATCATCAGAAGGAAAAAAGTCAGCTTCATCATATGCATCAGAATCGAGGCCATTATCATTAAAGTCATCTCTCTCTTCAATATAACACTTGTCCTCATCTGTTTCTTCTGAATCTGGTTCTTCCTCCTCTTCTTCTACCTCCATCTTACTAGTATGTGCAGATGAGGCCCTAGGAGTCTTGGCTGCTCTACCCTTTTCTATCTTTTTGTGCTTCATTGAACTCAAATATTTTATAATTTCCTCCCTGGGAGCTCCAGGAACATTTTTACATGGACAACATCCCTCTTAATACCGGCAAGGTGTTTTTTAAACCGGTAAAAGCCCCATTAGTGTCCTTACCACAATAATTACATTTAATACGATTTTTGTCATTCGGATTCGAGTTATAACCATACTTCCAACTCGGATCACCACTTCTAGAAGAACCTAGAGAAGATATTTCCGTAGAACACGGCTTATTTTCATCATTTTCTAGTTCTTTTAAATTAAGAAGTTGTCTAATCTCATCCCGAATAGCTTCATAAACCTTTTTACAAGAAACAACATTCCCTTTAAAACCAACAAGGTGTTTCTTGAATCGGTTAATACCGTCATTGGTATCTTTTTCAAAAAAATTACACCTTATAGAATTTTTATCTTTAGGTTTTGGGTTATAACCATACTTCCAACCCGAATCACTTCTTCTAGAAGTAGCAGAAATAGATCTATTCAAATGACAAGGATTTTGGTCCTGTTTTTTTTTACAAAACCCATATATTGCTTAATTTCCACCCAAGGACTACCGCCCAGTTTATATGCCATCGCCCAGGCCTTCAAGACAGCCTAGGTGGCCGCCTAAGCGCTGGGCGATCCGCTTTTTTTAACACTGGATGCTATAGAAGTTAAAAAGGATGCATGGGCTCAATATTGAGTTTCTATTATGACTGATGCTTGGAATGATAGAAAGAGAAGAAGTCAAATGAATTTGTTTGTGAATTGTCTTTTAGGGATTGTTTTTTTGAGGTCTATTGATATATCTGATCATATCCATGATGCCCATTACATATTCCAAGTTGTACAGGTTGTCACAGACAATGCTGCTCCTAATGTTGCTGCAGCTAATTTGTTGTGCATAGCTTATCCTAGAATCTCTTGGATACCATGTGCAGCACATTGTATAGACCTCATGCTTGAGGCTTTTGGTGGTTTAACCAAGATATCAGGAACAGTGAAGAAGGCAAACCCAGTTACATATTTCAATTATAGCCACCATCTCACCCTCAGCATGATGCGTAAATTTACAAAGAAGAAAGAGATTGTGAGGCCTGAGGTCACGAGATTTGCAACCTGGTACTTATGCCTAAATATTATACATTCGAGGAGAGTGCAATTGAGGCAGATGCTTACCTCGGATGACTGGAGAGCATGCAAGTGGTCCAAGGATCATGTTGAGAAGAAGGTGAGAGATATTATCCTTTCTAAAGCTTTTTTGACGAGGGGTGAAGGGCGCTCTTAAAGTATTTTCTCCTCTTATCAAAGTCTTTCGCATGGTTGATAGTGACAAGGCTTCTATGGGTTACATATATGAGGTTATGGAGAAATGCAAAAGAGAGAACCCAAAATTTTGATGATGATGAGAACCGCTACAAACCTATTTGGGAGATTCTTGATGAGAAATGGGATAGGCAACTACATCGGCCATTGCATTCAGCTAGTTATTATTTGAACCCAACTTTTTTTTATGTCGACAAGGATATACACACAAATAACATAATTCTGATTGGATTTAATAAGTGTGTAAATGTGCTAGTCCCTGATCCTGATATCCAGAATATTATGTGTGCTGATAAACTGATAAATTACAAGTGCTCATTAAAGTCTTTTGGGAGTCCAATGGCGATGAGGCACAGGACCAAAATTGATCCAAGTAGTAATAAGTTTCTTAAGTTCATCAAGTTCAAGTAATCAAGTTTCATTTTTATAATTCTATTATTTATTTATGATTTTATTCTATATCTTTGCAGCCAATTGGTGGAGCCAACATGGGTGTAGTTCTCCAAATTTACAAAAGTTGGCTATTCAGATCTTAAACCTAACCACTTCCTCATCCGGTCGTGAGCGCAATTGGAGTACTTTTGAAGGGGTAAGGCCGTAAGGGTAATTTGTATAATTGTATTAATAATACATGAACCATAGATTTTAATTAATTTCATTTGATTTTGTTAAATTCATACAAAAAAAATGAATAGGCTTGAATCAAAGAGGCTCAATGACCTAGTCTATATCAAGTATAATCGATTCTTGAATGACAGGTTTGCTAAGAGAGACCCCATCAGATCAAAAAATATGGACAATGCTATGGAGTGGTTAGTTGATGATGACGAGGCCCAGAGGCATGAAGAATTGACATAGGACATGGTCATGGATGCTTCAAGGACATCAGCCGACCCTCCTAGGGCCATTAGATCTTCTATACAGAGGACGAGGGTGGAGGAAGAGGAGGAAGCAGAGGTAGATTCATAAGAGACAGAGGAGGACGACCAATATGTCGAGGAGGGTGATGACTCCGGTGAATATGATGCAAATGCGGCTGACCCTACTTTTTCTGATGATGAATGATGAATAATGATTAAACTTTGAACATTGATTGAAGATTTTTTTGAGTCTTCAAGTATTACTTTCATTTTTGCTTTCTTCTTGTTGGTTGTGTATTATGGATAGTAGATTTGTAGTTCCACTGGTTTGGTATTTGACAACTTTGGTTTGGTAATTTGGTTAGGTAAATTTTAAGTTTTAATTGGATATGGAACAGTGTTTTAAAAAGCGGACCACCTAGCACTTGGGCGGCTGCCTAGGCGATTCTGGGGGCTTAGGCGCATCGTCCAGACCTAGGCGCCCAAAAAAAACGGATATCCCTGGGTGCCCGCCTAGGCGCCCGGGAACTCGCCTAAGCGGTCGCCTGACCACCCAAGGCTTGCGCCCCGCTCAAGGGACAAAATGCCCCTTGCTGAAGGCATTTTTGGGTCATTTTTTAATACTAAAGGTACAAAATTGTGGGTTTTAAGTTCATTAGAGTCTATTTTAGAGAGAAAAAAACCCCAAAAAACAAAATTCTACTAAGCCACCCAAGTTCTGGGCACCCACCTAGGCGCTGGGCGGCCTGGACCCCCCCAACTGCCTAGGTGCGGCCTAGCGCTTTTTGAAACACTGATATAGAACGACTTATGGTTATCTTATGGAGTGTGTGCTAATGTGCAGTATACTTTTAATTATGATGTGCCCAAAATACCTTACTTTTATATTTTGTACAATATATATACTGGTAGAGACTGTAGAATCCTTTTTGGATTCAACTGGGCTGCCCAGGTTCTGGGCGCCCGCTTCGAGGCTGGGCGGCCTAGACCCCTTAGGTCGCCTAGGACCCACCTAGAACTTTTTGAGACACTGATCATTACATTGTCTACATCAATTGGTAAGAAAAAAATAAGAAGCAAATCAACCTAGTTGTCCAGCTGTTTGAGAAATTGTGAGGAGACCAGTTACACAAACACTAAATTTTGCAAGAAAGTTGCACATTAACATCAAGGCAAACTCTGGTGGTTTTTGCCCCCTGCCCATGGCTTTCATTTGTCGATAGATTGACAAACATCATCATCAGAGCATTTTCCTAACTATTTGGGGTTGGCTATAGGTTGACAAACAAAAGAAAAAATAAAAAAACATGTATGATCTTTTCAACCAATCCTAATGAAAACTTTCTTTTCACAAAGAAAAAAAAGATAAAAAAAAGAAAATGCAAATTAAAAGGCACTCTAACACAAAAAGCAAGAGAAAAAACTCACATTAAAATGCTCCACAAGTTCATGTAGCTCCCCTTTTTTATGAGCAACCTTTTTTCCTGAAATAAGATGATTGTTATTGAAGAACGCATTTAAGAAAACAAGCACAGAGCAAAGTCCCATTGCCAAAGACATTGTAAGAAGTATCAATGAATTACTCACTCAAGACATAAGGTACGCGAAAGGCCACACAATAAAACCCAATATTGTACAGAGTTCACAATCTATTGAATAGATGCAAAATCAAAAGCCCCAAATAAGAAGTACCAATGAATTACTCACTCAATACATAAGGTATTCGAAAGGCAACATAATAAAACCCAATATTGTACAGAGTTCACATTCTATTGAATAGATGCAAAATCAAAAGCCTTGGGGCTCTCTCATCACTAGCATCAACAAGATAATTTCAATCATAGTTCAGAATCCAGTATATCTATGTCAAATCCATTTCAAAAACCCTAGTATGGATGTTGCTGCACTAAGCAGGCTTATGCACAAAGGCAGTTCGGTACCAACATTTTCATTGCCGATACTCCACCAAGAAGAGGCACATATTGGCAATCGTGCCATTTGGTTGACAAGGTGTTTCACCTCGATCACAGATGAGACCAACTTGTATGTTGGCTTGCCGGTGCATCATACAGGGCCAGAATTATAGTAAAAAAGGGCACAAAGCAACAGTTAAATAGCCGAACAGAAATGTTCTACTTAAGTCGTTGTTCATAGTCCATATGTTATTCTTCAAAGGCACTACAAATCCCTAGACCCATGGAAAACCATTATGCAACTGCTCATCTTCCTCCAACTTAGGAACAGCACTAGCTAAGGCTCCCAGCTTCCCTCCCTCCGAAAATCTAAAGCATCTTATGCAAGTCATTTTGTCCCATGGCCCATCTAAAGGACCGCATCATATATGATACATGCAATCATTCCGTCACCTGCCCTCTGGCCAGCAATCTGGCATGTAAACCCATGCACAATATTGCACGTACATGTATCATACTCATACCTGATTCTGCAACAATTAAAATTTAAACTAGATCGAGACCACAAACAGTTATTGCACTTGAGATCAAATATAGAGATACAATGACTTTCACGAACACATGTGACATGATCAAGAATTGAACATCCTAGTTGAAAAATTGAACACCTGAATAGATAGTGGATATCTACAAGTCGGTACATCTTTGTCCAATTCCATAAAATCAATTCTCCTGACCCTCAGAAGAAAACCAAATGAGAAAAGCACCCCAAAATGCGCAGCGATGCAAGAATTAAAGTTTCATAGTAGAGCAAGATCACAATGTACTGGGAACAACAGGAGAGCAGTGGCAATGTTAGCATTAAACAGGATGTCAAGAAGTCAGCTGAGCATAAATCACCCTACAGCTCTAGCACATAAAGCCATTAAAAAAATATCAAAACGAGCAATGGATGTGGAAAAGTAACCTCTACAGTCTTTCAAGACAGTGGTGCTAGATGATACTGTTATCCTGCGCTCTATGCTTATTACATTGCCATATGTATCATGCTTGAAAGCATCCTCTCCTTGATTCTTCATCTCCACAACCACAAGAGCATAACTGCAGAGAAAGAGTTGCATAACTACAAAATAACAAGAAAAATGGCTATAAAAGAGCAATCAGATGTTCTTCTTCCCAAAGAGAGACATGAAAGGACTCATAGGTAAATAAATGATCATAAATCTAAGACATCTCCTAATATGGTCGTTTTCCCTTCAAAAAAAAAAAATTCCATCAGAAAGTTACAAGAAATCGTTATTAAGGCTCACAACAACAAAGCTCTTCAATTTGATCTTAGGCAGTCATAAAACATGCCATGAGTAAGATCCAACCTTAATATCTTTTATAAGCAAAAATATCAACAGTACTTGTAACACCTCCATAAATCATCACAGGTAGTCCACAAAATAGGAATCGCACGCAGATACCTGGGAAAAATGCAAATATCATATATTTTTCCCCAACAATGATATTCCTGACTAATGCATATTTTAACCTCTGTCGGAATTTGAAATAACAGACTAACACGTTTGAACTTGATATACATTTTTAACCCATTAACAGGTGAAAGATAATCCAACCTTCTGAATAGTGGACTGGCAAGAACAGCCTCTTACATATACCAAAATACTTTCCATACACTTACTATCTGGCCCCCACCATATGACTTCTAAATAACAGACAGAGACAAAGAGTGATAGAATATAGCTGAAGACCCTGACCACCTGCATGAAACTCAAAATTTCGGGACCAGCAGCATGGTCCGCAGGTGATCCTAGCACTTTACTGAAATTTTTGCCTTTTTTCTTATTCCATTGCATACATTTAGGGCCACTAAGTTTTCAGGTACATGACATCACGAGTATTAATGATATGCTCTCATTAGTAAATATGAATAGTACAACCTTGATCATCAGGTAATGATATAACATATAAGAGGTCCATAAGCACTTTCTTCTGTAACTAACATGGCCATAAATTCACTAACATAGGAACCATTTTGATGTTCAGCCAAGTGACATGAAGCTATTTGAGTCAAACTATGCAGCAAAGATAGAGAGAAGAGGGGGGAGGTCAAAGAGCATTGTCATATTTTACAGAGAGAATCAGAGAAAAATATAGAGAATCAAGTATAACTTAGACAATAAAAACAAAAGCATGGTAACAACCCAAAGAAAATCTATGGAAAAAGACTACTAAATATTCACAGGACCCTTTTCTTTTGCGGCAAAAGGAATTGGATCTTCCAGAACAAAAGGAATAGAAAGTTGTCAATAAAAAACTGGAAACTATACAAGAAAATGAGAAATTCAAATGGACGCAGAGACATTTGACCTATTGCAGATAGTAACTTACTTGCAACCGGTTTTTATGAACTCCTTCACTGAAGAAGCCCTCTGTGTATTCTTTGCTCTTATACCAAATGCTACGCACAATGCCGTCAATATTGCACTTTTACCACCTGAAAAGAAAAAGGGAAAGATATAGAGAGAGAGAGTGTGTGTGTTTGCGTGCACGCGAAAAATATTAGATTAAATCAAATGTCCAATTCTTATAACAATGGTACTGAATCACACTACCCATAGTGCCCAAAAAGATGAGTCATTGAGCATTAATTCGATGTACGGCCCAAACTATATAAATAAATAAATAAAGGTTACAATTTTGATCAATGAAATTAGAAGAGGAGGAGGTACGTACTTCCATTTTGTCCAGTGATAAAATTAACATGCTCGCCCAAATCAATTTGTAAACTACTGTGACACATGAAGTTCTCCAAACTTATCTTTGATATAATTCCAGCTCCATATCTATGAGGATTCACAAAAGCCCTAGGAGTATCCATTTCGTCTCACTAGTACCTCAACAAATGATGTAATTCAGAACCAAACACTATCGCTTCTGTATCATACAAAACCTTGAATTTAAGATCATGAAACATGACTTCCAAATGAAGCCCTAGTATCCACTCCTTGCTGGTCTAGGGCTTCTGCAACCTGAAATTCAACAAATCGGGAGCTAAATACCCAATAAAAAACCCTAAAACGCAGCATCAAATCTACCAATGATAACCCCATATTCAGCACCTGAATGGGTGGAGAATCTCCAGTGGAGATTAGCATAAAAACTCTCAATTCATCTGACATTGATTGGGGCTTTCTCCCATAAACCCCGATAAGGAACTGGAAGATATCGAGTTCAGTAATAAAATCCTAGGCTTCTTCATCATTACTGGTCTCTGAAATCACGAAAACCGCATCATAGGTTTCGGGCCTTGGTTTCTAGGGTTTTCGTGCGCTGAGGGAAATGGCCCTCTAAAAAAAGCCGCAAAAAATAATTGATATTTTAATTTGGGAGAGCGCGAAATTCGGTTGAGGCATTTAAGACCGTTGATATTTTGAATAGCAGAGATTTGGTATTTTATGTACGAACATTACCTCTGTTATTGAGACAAATACCAAACCAACCCCCTCCCCTAAAAAAACGTTGAAAGAAAATGATCAAAAGATCCTTAGGACATTTAATTAGAATTGGAACTTGGGCGTTGTGTGGCCTTGTTGATTGACAGCACGTACGCTATACTCCCTTAAGAGATCGTTAGCAAATCGCCCTTTAATCGGCCATTTTTTCAACTAATGGCCGTTTTTATGGAAACAGTTTTAAACGGGACGTTTTGAAAAGTTCGGTAAAAAATAGTGTAATTTTCATAAAAACGCTTAATGCATGTTTTTTTATAATACGATTTAAATCATACCAAATATTTGTATCCTTTTTTACCTATAATTTTTTGTTTGAAAGATACCTCTTTTTTTTTTTTTTTTTTTTTTCCTGTTTTGTGTGTTGTAGTCATGGCTATTTTTTTACTTTTGAAAAAAACATTATTTCAAAAAAAAACCTAAAATATAAATTTTTATCCCCACTGTTCTTCAAAGCCACAGTTGTAGATCGAAGGTATGAATTTTTTTGCCTTTTTTTTTAAAAACATAAACAAATAGATGCAAATTTCAGTTGTTATTATAGAAAATCATTGTGTAAATGAAATACTATTTAGAGCAAATCATTTTGTAAAGTTAATCATTGTGTAAAGAAAATTATATATATTCAGATTTCTGTGATTATTTGTGATAATTGTTTTATGAAAATACTGTTTATGACACAAATTAGAGCTCAAAACATAGTATGAGTGAGAAGCATAGAGTGTGACTATAGGACCAAGTAATTAATATTTTGTTCTTTATTATGTGGGAACAAAGATAAACAATATAGTGTAAACTGTAAACTTACAGAAGCAAGCAATTGTACATATACGATTAGTTCCCCAAACCAAATCCTTCAGCTTTGCTTGTTGTTTCTCCGAGAAATGAAAGGCCCACTTTTTTTTCTCGGTCTCTTTACAAATCAGTATAGTTAGGGCTTTCTTTCGAACAATATCCCAAATCAGAGAGAAAAACATTATTCAAACTATCCCAAATCAGCATTTCATATTCTTTTTCTCTCTCTAAAAAACAGTTAGTGCCTCTTCCAATAGGGTTCTCCAAACTATCTCAGCTCAGCATCCTGTCTTATTTTTCTCTCTCTAAAAAATAGTAAGTGCCTCTTCCATTGTTAAAAAACTTGAGGGAAGAGATGGACCCACTATTAGGATTAGGGGCAGTGTCGTGAGACTATCGATCGTAAAGATCAAGCTTTTACTAAAACTGTTAGAACTTTGTAAATTTTTGTGTATTTCTCCATGACCTGAAACCCTTCTTAAAGAGGGATGGAAGAGGTCGTTATCCAACGTTCGGCTTCCTCCTGAAATCTCTGAGAAAAAGTGACCTTGTAATCCTGGGAAGTGGGTGGTTACTTTATAGCCGTTAGATAACGGCTCATTCTCTCTCTAAGAAGCCTCCATTTTTAGTGATAAGCATTAAAATATAAGAGAGATAAATATTACACGTTTAAGGGCCTATGGCCATACACACGTACCAACATCTCCCACTTGGTCATAAAGGACTGATGTATTGAAATATCATAAAGCCTTTACCACTCAATGAATTTAACATTTATGTGCATATTTTTGTCATGAGGCTTTCATGCAAGTGTGGTTATACATCTCATAATAAAAAATATCAAAAATCATATCATGGTTTTTCACATTATGCGGTTTTTCCTCTCATGACCAAGACATCAAAAAATATCCCATTTGAGAATTCCTGACTTAAATATTTCTAAGTCTCATCAAAGCTACATGTTTTGATAATATTTTTACACTCAATCTCTTTGTTAAAGGGTCTGCAATTGTATTTGAAGATGGCAAATAACTTACAGTTATTTCATTCTTTCTAATAATATCATAAATACAATGATAATCAATTTCAATGTGCTAACCTTAGAACTATAAGCTTTATTTTTAATTGATGAACTAGCAGCCTGATTATCACAACAAATTTTAACAGGTCCGTCGGCTATATCTAGCTTCAAATCATTTACAAAGCATTTAATCTATACGGCATAAGATATAGCAATGCTACAAGCAATATACTCGGCTTCCATAGTATACCAAGCTACGCAACCTTATTTCTTACTAGACTAAGAAATACATCCACCTCCAAAGAGGAATACAATTCCTGAAGTTGATTTTTTATCATCTAGGTCTCCTGCAAAATCTGCATCAGAATACCCAGTAACCTCTAAGTTGTTAACTTATAATTTTTAGTTTTCTGAATATATTTGAGTATCATTTTTACAGTTTGCCAATGAGCCATCCCATTATTACTCTGAAATCTACTTACAATACCATATGCATGACTCAAATCAGGTTTTGTACACAACATGATTTGTGCATCCTACAACTTGAACATATGAAATTCTTTCAATTTCAATTTTGTTGGACACATTTTTTTTGATAATTTCAAGCCTTTACAAATAGGTGTATCTATGGGCTTGCAATTTTCTATTTTAAATATCTTTAAAAACACTTTTTAAATAATTTTCTTGAGATAAACATAGAAGTCGTGAATTTCTATCTCTTGTTATCTTAATAGCCAATACATATGAGGCTTCTTCCATATCTTTTATCTCATAATGAGAACTTAGCCACGATTTGGTATGGTAAATCATACCAATATCATTACCGGCTATCAAAATATCATCCACATATAGTGACAATATAACAAAATTGCTCCCACTGTTCCAAACATATACACAATGGTCTAACCGGTTGGCTATGTAATTAATTTCGGTTATTGCATTATGAAAAGTAAAGTACCATTGTTTAGAAAACTGTTTTAGACCATATAAAGATTTATTAAGTTTATATACTTTGTCTTCTTGGCATTTAATTACATATCTTTCTGGTTATTTCATGCATATGTCTTCTTTTAATTCTCCATTTAAGAAGTTGTTTTGACATCCATATGAAATAATTCTATATTATAATATGAAATTTATGTAAGGATGATCCTAATAGATGAAAATTTGGCTATTGAAGAATAAATTTATACATAATCTATACCCTCTTTTTTGGTAAATCCTTTAGCTATCAACCTAACTTTATTTTTATCAGTGGATTTATTTGCATTAAGCTTTTTCTTTAGGACCCATTTGCAACCGATGACTTTTCTATCTTTAGGGAGGTCAACCAACTCTTAGACTTTATTTATTGTAATAGAATCAAGTTTATCATCCATGGATTGAGTCCATTCAGCTGAGTCATGTGAGCTAATACCTTCACTGTAGCTTTGAAGTTCATCTATTGTATCATCATTCATTGAAGAGTAATTATCTTCATTCATAAATATATAAAATTCTTCTAAAGTCGTAAGTGGGGCTTTAGTTCTTTTAAGCCTATCTAGTATATTTGATTCAATTGAATAATTCTCAACAAATGCAGAGGGAGTCTGACAAACAGGGTCTTCCAGACGCTTATCTTTATCAATTTCATGTAACTCAATAGGTTGATTTAAAATATTTTCATCATCTATATTTTATAAGAAATGAACATCGCGTATCTCTACTAATGATCTAGTATCATAGTTATAGAATCTATACTTTTTAGAATTTTCTGAATAGCCTATGAAAGAGTATTTTATAGTTTTACTTAGTATTTTATTTATATTTTGTAGTGGTATAAGCACATGTGCCCATGAACCCAAAACTTTCAAGATAGTAAGGTTAGGTTTCTAACCTGTCCATAATTCATATGGGGTCAAGTCTAAAGATTTAGTTGGAATACGATTAATGATATATATTGCAGTGTTGAGAGCCTCACCCCAAAAATGAGGTGATAAATTTGAATGGCTCATCATGGACTTAACCACGTCCATTAGAATTTTATTTCTCCTTTCAACTACACCATTTTGTTGTGGTGTATATGGTATAGTTGTTTGGTGAATTATATCATGCTCCTTACAAAATTCATAAAATATGACGAAGCAATATTCACATCTCCTATCTATTTGAAGAATTTTAATATGTCTACTTAACTGATTTTTTACCTCAGTTTTATATTCTTTAAATGGATCTAATGCATCTGATTAATTACTAATTAGGTATACATATCCATAACGTGAATAATCGTCTATAAATGTTATGAAATATTCAATACCTCTATGTATTTTCACATTTAATGGGCCACATATATCAAAGTGAACAAGACTAAGTAGTTCAATAGACATTTTCCCTGTAGGGAAAGGCTTATTAGTTAATTTACCAGAAATACATGGCTCGCATGTTTTGAACACAATTTTTTCTAAATTGGGGATCAAGCTTCATAATTTTTTCAATAGAAATTGTTGTTGATAGTTATAAAAAAAATAAAAATAAAAAAATAAATAAAAGTTTGCTGAAATTTTAGAGAGAAAGAAAAAGACATACATAATTGCTGAAAATTAGTTGGCTTGCACCTTTCTTTCTTCCATATTTTATTGCTGAAAATATGTGCATAATTTTATTGGATTATTGAAAATTGTTATGCACACAACAACTATTCCAGTAAAGGTTGTTATATCAATTGCATGCATTTTTTTTCGTGGCTTATAATTTAGGGATTTACTACATATTTTATTTGCATAATAATTGTCATTGCATTGCATAATTATCCTTTGCTTGGGTCTTTTTCAGTTAGAAAATTTCATGATCTTGATTTTGTGAATTCATTATTTTTATGATTAGGCAATACCATATTTTTGTTGAAAATATCAAAATATCATTTTAGACTCTCTCTCTTGTGCTAAAACATATTCATATATTTATGAATTTATTTTTATACAAGATTTGGCATAAAGTAGTTGTTGCCTTACTTTATTAATTTTTTGTTGCATCACAGTAGTGTGAACATAAACT